TTGTCATCAACACATACAACTTACAGCTTAGACCTCCAGTAATGCCATCTCAGGAGCAGATTTTACATCACAGCAGAGCCAAAGATTGGTAACAAGCCTCATGACGTTTAGGCAACACGTTCAACTACAAACGAATTTACGACTAGTGTGAATCAGCTAGTGCTAAGTCAACGTCTTGGCGAAATACCTGCATGACGTCAAAAAAACATCATAGTGTCAAAAAGAATCGGTATAATGTCACTTTTAAAGTTACGTGATACCCCTGCCGATATCTTATAGATACCCCACCAATAGTGGCAATAAAAAGCAGTAGATATTTATTCACTACATAGTATAACAATACAGAATGGGTAAATAAATATGTTTCAATTCACAGGAGGACAATGTCAGTACATTGATGAGTTGTATGTTGAAACGTGTGACATTTCAAAACAAAACAAAAAAGTTGAAAGAAAAAAAAAGAAAAATTATATCGATGAGGTACATATGTATAAGACGATAACTCTTAATGAATATTTGATAGGTGCTCAATAATATATGTCCTTCCTCATTTTAAATTGTGTATTTCAAAATCCTTTTAAGTCTTTGGGTACGTGTTCATATAATTTTGGAGCCAAGTAGAGAGAAGGTTATGGTCTTATGGGGTTCAGGGACCGTTTTTGAATGTAGTTTATATCGAGTATCATTACAATGTGTCATTTTATCGCGCTCACTGACAACTGACAATGGCTGATAGTATCTAAGAAATAAAGCAGATTGATATCAAATAATTTTGTTTCACTATATAAGTCATTGGTTAAATACAATTTTGGTTTCCTGATCATAGTTTTTTAAACATACCTCTGCAAAACAAAATTCAATTTTGTATATAACAAATCTTATTTCATTCGAAATGTAGGCTGCATAAATGTCCCACCCCAAATGTGGGTCTGAAAAATATTCCTAAGTAACTGATATTGTCCACACCAAAGTACATTTTTCTTGGAGGCGGTAGATGAAACTGAAGTAACCTCAATCATTAACACATTAAACCGAAGTCCGAAATATTTAAATATACTGCTGATATTATTTCAATGCCGCTATGTCACTTAATCAACCGATTTTATATTTCTAATGAAGTCCCGGAAGGGTTCAAAGTAGCTTTAGTTACACCTGTTCATAAAAAAGGTGATGTAAAAAGTATAAATAACTATAGACCAATATCTGTCATCATAATTATAGCTAAAATATTTGAGAAAACATTGAAAAGTAGGCTAGTTAAATTTTTGGACAGATGCAAATAGCTTTCAGATAAGCAATTCAGTTTTCGAGAGGGAATATCAACCAAAGATGCAATTGCTAAGTTAACAGAAGAGATTAGAAAAAGATTATAATTGAGTACACCGGTACTGTGCGTATTCTTGGATCTTGCCAAGGTCTTCGACACTGTGAATCACCAGCAGATGTTGGAGACCTTGGAGGATGCAGGAGTACGAGGCGGACCTTTACAGTTGTTTACAAGCTATCTCTCAGTAGTGAAGATTAGTGACAGATTCAGTAATGAAAAGACAGTTGATTACGGTTTACCTCGGGGTACTGTGTTGGGTACAATCTGGTTTACACTTTACATACACAGTATTCTAACTTCTTCGTCAGTTGGTCAAGTGTTTAGCTTTGCAGATGATACGGCAGTCCTGTATGATGACAACACTTAGGAAAATGTAAAAATTAAAGCAGACTGGGATCTAGGAACTATTTTTGATTATTTTGCTCATAAACTTTTAAACATGAGCTATGAGAAAACATTCTTTATGCCTTTTTCTAATACAGTACGTTGTCTGCCTCAGTATGGACAACTTTTAATGAATCAAAGTATATCTTTAACATCTGTGAAAACCTATAACTACTTTGCTAACATTACAAATAGCTTACGACAACTCTTATATCGCTTTAAATACTTAAAACATCTCATAGACTACATGCACCTGAAAATGATGTATTATTCATTAGTTGAATCACATCTACGATACGCTATTTTGAGTTGGGCAAGTGCCGCATATTGTCATTTGCAGCCTCTGGATATACTGCAAAAAAGAATGTTGAAAGTAATATCTGGCAAGCAAATGACTTATCCTTCTGATAAATTATTTTCGGAGACTGTAGTGTTTGACCTAAGACAACTGTTTTTGCATGAATTAATTCAATTCATATACAAACACAAAAACAACTTCAATAAAACTAGCCATGCTTATAGTACTAGATATAAAGAAAATGAAAACTTAAAAATACAAACTTTTCAAAGAAATGTAAGCTTGCGATGCCGCGCCTACCTATCATGTAAAATTTATAATTGTTTGTCATACATGTACCGTATGTATGTTGATAAAATAAACTCACTGTCTTTGATAAAATCTTTATTTAAAAAATATATTTTTGTAATTGGTAGACAAGAGACACGAAATCTAGTAGTAATTATTTAGTAGAAATCGTACTACGCTAGTATTACTCCTCCTCACCCTCCATATTTCTGTAGTTAGTGGAGTAAAATTTATTATATAAGTGCTACACCTCCTTACCTTCCATACTTACAATGTGCTTGTTGTATAAGATCCTGCTCTAAGCAATATTTATTATCAAAGTTATGTCAAAAAAAAAAATCTGCCCGTGCACAACCAACTATTTTGGTTTCAATGGGCTTTACAAGACAATTTAAAAATTTTCTGTGACTTATAAAACATGTTAGCTTACGATTATTTTGTGAAAGTCAGGTATTATGTTTTATTTTACGTTTATTATTGTACTGAACTTAGCATTTGTATTTATTAACACATTGTGTTTTGGGGGAAAATAAACGTATAATACTAATACTACTGTCGATTTTTAAATTTGCATTGTCATTTTGTAGAAAATATTTGAATAATCCGGTTGTAAATGTCTTGCGTATGATGTGAACGGTAGAAAATGCGTTCTTCCAAAATTCATTTTCCAGTGTTGAAATCATCATACCAGTCTTGCCCTTTATGTAGTATTTATTATCATCAGCAAAAATGACAATTTTACCTACAAAGGTAATTTTGAATATATTCCAAGCTCAATTAATCTTAACGAGTCTCTATTTAGACTATTATTTAACAATTATCTTCTTAATTAGGAGTAGCTCTAACACCACCCCCATCTTGATTAGATTTATCCTTTTCCCACTTGAGTCAATGAGCTTGCGCCTCGCCCGAGCCCTTCCAATTTAAAATAGGTATCTGTTTACAGTCGGTTCCGGGCAAAGATTAACGTGTACGCTGTGGAGCATGCCTCTTGGATTTAGAAGCACCCTCTCACAAAATCATTGGTAACGGGAGAGTCAAATTGAGGGGATGAAAATTGGGTGATCGATCGGCTGGGCGGATGGAAGTTTAGACATATTTACATAAAATGGCGACATTACTCCATAAGCTCCACATCAAATGTTTGCCAGTATTCTCAGTGTAATAATGTGTACATGTCCTAAGCTAGAGGAGGAGAGTAGTCTTGGATGATTAGTTGAGGTACAAGTACAAGGGTCATGAGCTTTAAAAAATATATATTTTATTATTTAAGACAATTTTGATCAATTAGGAATCAACTTGAAGAAGAAGGAACGGAAAAATAAATCATTCACTATTAAAAAGCAACCGCAGTACAGGTCACGATTAAGAATATTGAACAATATCTTCGTTGCAGTAAAACGGCAAATGTATCACTAAGGGTGACCACCTCCAACCAAAACTAAATTAAATGGTCGATAAAAATATATGAAGTTCATGATGACATGACTTGACGTACCTATATGAAAGTACTAGAGTACACCTCTATATTCCACAGACCTCAAGCCCCGCCATTCTAGCGAAGTTGAGTATGGCCTTGAGTCCAAGCTGCTTAACATCCTGGGGGTCCAAAGTGATGGACCCCAGTATATTCTGCCTGTAGTAACTAAGAGCCTCACAGCGACATATAACGTATTCCTCTACCCCGTAGTGCCCACAAAAGGGATACCCAGTCACCCCCAGCAGTCCCACAAGCAACCTTAGGTTGGGTCTATCCAAAGATAAGCAGCAACGTACATCGTTAGCACTGGGCGCCACAACGAGTTCCCGTGCCTGTCAGACATGTCTGGAGATGCTTCTTCATTTCTGAGAGTGTTGTCTTGCAATCAACTTCTCCATTTTACTCCTGACTCTTAGCGCGGGCACCCTGACTGCACAGTCGGTGGTTGACTACTCTCGCTTGTCCGCGGATATCACTAGATGATGAACGCTCCATAGAAGGTCAACATAATGAATGAGTTGTTTAACTTGAAACTAACCTTGTGATCAAAATCCCTGCTCATACTACTTGAACTACATATACCGTCTTTCATTAAGATGAAACGTTAAACACTTAACAATAATATGTTATAATAAAGAAATCATTACTTGAGCACTATCGTATGCATTAATGATAATAATGATCATTAAACTTAATCGTTAACATATTTCAAAAATAAATTTAGTGAGTATTAAATTTATATCAACTAAGTTGCCAATAACCTTTATGATGAAATGAAAAAATAAATTGTCCAAAATGGCATTCCCATGGACCCGTTACTTGTTTCAGATGGCATTAGGAATATATGATTCAGAAAAGGTTTGAGTCGTACAATTGACAAGTTGGTACCATATATCCGACTATCCCTTACAATTGAAATGAAGATGTTTGCTGTCTGTCTCTCTAACCACGACCAAATGCAAACAGACTGTTTCATGCTCCTTAGCAACTCGTCAGTGCGGCATAGGTCTAGCAGTTCTGGACACAGGTAACAGGAAAGCAAACAAGTGGGTATGGTGGGTATGGTTGTTTGAAAAATTCACAGTACTCTCTACAACTTTAAACAAAGTATCAATTTTTTAAGTGCTGAATCTTAACCTCACTCTTTAGTAAACTTAAATTCAAAGTTTCACAACAATACGTGCAGAGTTCTCATTACAGTGAATTTTTAAGTCATTAGAAAAATGGAACTCAACCGAGAACATTTTCACGCCATAATTTATTACAACTTTCAGAGACAATTATCGCAACAAGAATGCCTTGCTGAGTTACTGTCTGTTTTTGGCCACGAAGCGCCACATCAGTCGACATTATCCCGTTGTATGGAGAATTTTGAACCTGGACGGGTGAGTCATAACGTCGATCCCAGGGTGGGTGCACCAAAAACGGCAGTCAACCAGGAAAACGTCGATGCTGTGCGCAAACTGATCATTGAAGATAGATATGTGACATATCGCGAAATTGAGGCGTCCTTGTAGATCTCAAATGACTTAACTCAGAAAAATTTACATGAAGAATTAGGAATAAGAAAATTAGTTTCTCGTTGGATACCCCACTGAAGAGCAGAAAGCAGTCAGGGTTAATTGGTGTCAAAAAACGCTTGACCGTTTCAATTCCGGAAACTCAAAAAATGTGTACAGCGTTGTTAGTAGTGATGAATCGTGGATTTACTGTTATGAACCAGAAAATAAACGACAGTCGGCCGTTTGGGCGAAGAAGGTGAAGAAAAGGCAACAAAAGTCATCCGTTCTCGAAGGTGTTTCGAAAAAGATGGTCGCGACATTTGTGTCAAAAGCGGGTCATATTGCAACAATTCCTCTTAGTGAGCAAAGAACTGTTACTGCGGATTGATATACCACCATTTGCTTGCTAAAAGTCACCACCGAGCTTCGAAAAATCAACCCCGAAAGAAGAATCATCCTCCACCAAGACAATGCAAGCTCGCACACAGCCCAAAAAACAAGGCAGTATTTAACGGAAGAAAACGTGGAATTATTGGACCATCCTCCATATAGTCCCGATCTAAGTCCTAACGATTTCTTTACTTTCCCGAAAAGTAAAAACAGACTGCGTGGTCAAAGGTTCCACTCACCAGAAGAAGCACTTGACGTATTCAAAAATGCCGTTTTGGATCTGCCAGCAAACGAGTGGAATAAGTGCTTCGAAAATTGGTTCGAGCGCATGCAGATGTGTATTAATCTTCATGGGGGATGCTTCGAAAAACAATAAAGTCATTTTTTTGTAAACCCTAAAAGATATCCCTCGTAAGACCCTTGCGCCCTAACAAGGAGTCATTAGCTTTCCGAGGAACACTACCACTATCTTAACTATCAACTAACCAAGCAACACTTTTTTCCTTTAGTACACATCAAATATAATGTCAGAGTATGAAAAAGCTTGGAAACTGACGTTTTGCTGTGAGCTTGTATTACAGTTTTAACCTCGACGATTAATGCCAAGCCAGGAACCGTAACTAAGTCCTTCAATTCGATTAGTGTAAGAAGATGGAATCATCCTACAGTCATAGCTGCGACTTTTTAATAATCGGTCTTGCAAAGAGCATAACCTTCCATGGTACGCCCAGCAACATTTTATTGAGATTAAGGAAATCGCTGCATTCAAGGAATGCGGAGCAGCTAGCTAAGGCGAAAGACAATGCGGCCGCTCGGAAAGAAAATATAACAACAGGTGGCAAAAACCTTCATTTAAATAACCCTCTTAATCCGGCCGCAGACCAACTGACCGTTAAGACAAGGGGGAGTGGGAAATGCGGCAAGCGTGGAACAGGGAAATCAAGGGAGAGCAGAGCAGGACAAAGCCGTTACTGCGCGGCAAAGCGGCAGAACGGAGGTTGCTGTCGAATTTACAAAAACAATCGGAACCGTTCACGATGCCAACAATGCCGTTTTAATTGGAGGTTGTGGAAAAGTTAATGGAAAGTTAGAAAACGCCGGTCTACGATCGACAACAACTGCATCGATTTGCTGAAGAGGCGAGCAGATGAGGGTGGAGTTAACGAGATCACCAGTGGCGGACAAGGTGTAGCTACAACTCTTCAACATTTGGAGCGTTTTTTCTCCAACATGAAAAATCGGATAAAATAACAGGGCTTTATTGCATCATTAAAAACACGTAAAGGAGTCTAGCCTGTGGCCGATTCACACAACCAGTATTATTACTGTTCCACATGGCTCGGTTTTGCACCCAATGAAATATTGTTCCGTTAGGTGAAATCTTCTGGAAATATGTTGTCCGTATTGTGGCTTGATAAAACGTTTAATAGACCCGAAACTCTGAATTCCCCCTTAAGGTCTTATAGTCCTCCCGAAACATCAAACATGACGAAAGAAAGGACTTTCAGTAGTGCATACTTTCTACAAGCTTTTTGACATTGACTTAGAAAATATGTTTGGAAAGCATGTGAGACTTACTTGCTATTTTATCATTTATTTTATACTTTCGATAATTATGAAAATTCTCATCAAAGAAATGATTTTTAAAAAACTACACATCCCTGATTTAAAAAAACCCTAGTAAACATTGTCAATTAAGATTTTACTGTTAAGCAATAATAAAAATCGCGGCCTTCCACCTCATCTCCATCTGTTCCATCATTATAAAAGTACTACATTCTCTTTTTCTAATTTTTCCGATTAGCCTTTGAAGGGGATTTCAGAACAATAGTGAATAACAGACTTACTCAACTGAGAGGGGTCTGATTTGGGCGACGAATAAAAAAGCTGTGTTCGTTCACTAGAATTTTAATCAAACATCTAAGTATATACCAGTTTTAGCGTAAAAATTTCAACATTAATAGGGGGTCATGTGATACCTGATTTTGAATATCCTCGTGAATATCTACCTTCTAAATTACCATAATTCAAAACGGCTGTCTGGATTGAGCATTTTTGTACATTGAATCGCTTATAAATCAACAATTACTCATCTAAACATTAGTGTTCCATTACCAATTACATATTTGAATATACATTTCACATACTATATATAGCATTTTAAACAGTGGTAGTAACTCAATTTTGCAGGCGAGATTGCCATCTTGAAATACAGTGATCCTATATTTCAGGGTTACAAAGTAGTTGTAAGGAGATCAAAAATGAGATATCAGAAATGTTCCAAAACGGCGCTAGGGAGGATATCTTTGCACTATATACGCGTTAACGTTATTCCCTAAAATATTCAAATGTCGAATTCAGAACAAGTTCGCGTTTTTGCATTAACTTTCAAAGGAGTTCAATTTTAACCTGCCACATCTTTAGCCATGTGGGTCTCATGGGTTACAGCGTACTTCAGCAAAGGCCTTTTTTCAACACCTCCTCCAAATCTCGCTCGCTCTCCCACTCTCCCTCTCTCTCCCTCATCTCCCCCTCTCTCTCCCTCGTCTCTCCCTCTCTCTCTCTCTCTCACTCTCTCCCCCTCTATCTCTCACTCTCTCTCTCTCCATCTCTCTCCGTCTCTCTCCCCCTCTCCCCCTATCTCCCCTCACTCCCTCTCTCTCCCTCTCTCTCCCTCTCTCTCCCTCTCTCTCCCTCTCTCTCCCTCTCTCTCTTCCTCTCTCTCTCTCCCCCCTCTCTCTCTCACTCTTTCCCACCTACGCGCTCCCCTTCGACAGGTGTCATTCCAATTTACTAACTGCTACTTCTAGTCCAATAAATGAAGCTGTCAGTATCATTGTATCATACATGACCTTCTCTTTATAAATTGCACTGTTATTAGGTTTTGAATGAAACCCATGTTTATTGCCTAACTTGTCGAACAAGTCTATTTTTCTCACACTTCCATTCCTACTATCTGCTACTATCGCAAATTTTCTTTTCAGCTCTTCCTCTTCTTTAGCTATACTCACCTCTATTTTCTTGCCCCGCGATAGATGTCAAATCTAACATTTTCTGTTTAGTATGCAAGCTATTACCGTTAATTGAATCCGCACATGTCCACTTTCACATTTCAAAGCTAAATATTTATACAATCTGTGTAGATTTTACTGAGTGAACATAAACGGCTGGTGTTATTCAATCCGAGCTATAAGCGTGTCGACTAAATGTTCGATTACAAACTCCACAGCGAGAACTACATTTATTGATTAACCTTGTTCAATTCAGCATTCTTATTAGATGATACTGGTTGAGTCTTTTACAATACCTATGAGTTACAGTGTGGTGATAAGCATGGTCCGACCAAAGGTCAGTTCTTTGGCCGAAGCCAATGTTGGGCTTTTTACACAATTTCCATCCCAGGCCTAAGCCAAAGGATAAGTAAATCATAAATAATGAAGGTTCGTGCCTCCGAATTCGCTTCTTGTGAATATAAATTTCTGTTTTAGTTGTAATATTGAGTCGAAGTTTCTTAAAATTAGTTATAAAATTAAAATTAAATTATGTAAAGATGTTAAAAACTCTAGATATCTGACATACTGATAAGGAATACCTAGACAGTTAAAATACGTTAGAGAAAGACACAGGAAGCTTTGCAATTCGAGTATTTTTGCTAATAAATCAAAACTGCCTGGAATACTACATCTGTAGTCTGGTAATACAGTCAGTGATCATTTGTTTACTCAATTCAAATGGAATTAGTTTCCCTTTGGCCTATGATGTGTCGGCAATGGTAAGCCACGCTAAATAAGCACTAATTATTTCTTTATCTACTTGACAAATGAAACAAATAAATTGTTCTTCGTTCAACTATGTAACTTATAGAACGTTTTCCTTATTGCAGGGTTATTTATTACTTTTTCACTTCAAGCTTTATTCCGCACGAAATAATACGCCAGAGTGACACGGGAGTTAGATTGGCTTCAGATCAATCAGATAAAATCAACATACCTACTTTTCGAGATACTGCCACTTCTAAGTTTTTCAAAAATCCCTAGCTTTTGCTCCTTTTTGCCTGTTATGGCTATAAAGAACTTCTAACTTACGATTTTTTCCTAGGCTGCCATTAATAGTTGGTTGAGACAACATTTATTTCATTGAAAGCTAGCACGGTGTGCTAACAAAAATTATTACCATTTGTCTCAATGTGAAAACCTTCACTAAAGTTTGACTAAGTACTGTGAACAAAATGTACCAGACTGAATCGTCAAATAATCTTAAAAGGTAGCCTATTTAATACTATTTTGAAAAAAATATTTTTTATTTGTAGTATTTCGCAGGTATTACGACTTTGAACAACAAATTAAGTATTTAGTAAAAAGAACCTATAAATGTTATACTATTTTTGAAAGAACATTAAATGGCTAGTCATTTGCTGATTTACAGTCTGGTACATTTTTTCACAGTAATTAGTCAAACTTTAGTAATGTTTTTCGTATTGAAACCAAATGTAATAATTTAGTTTTTTTAGTATACCGTGCTAGTTTTCGATGAACTTCCCCACCAACTATCAATGTAGCCTAGGAAAAATAATCATAAGTCGGAACTTCTTTATAGCCATAACAGGCAAAAAAGAAGCAAATAGTAGAGATTTTTTGAAAAAACTGTGTCGCGATATCTCGAAAACTAGAAAACTTTTACTAAGGTCATGTTGATTTTATCTGATTGACTTGAAGCCAATCTACCTCCCGTGTCACTCTGGCATGTTATTTCTGTGACACTCTTTATAATTATTTCACGTAAACTATATACAGGGTGTTTCAGTTTATTGTTGCATAACTTTAAGATTCGACATAACTTTTAAAATTAATGCATAAAGTCTATATAAACATGGGTCGAAAAATGCGTGGCTTCCAAAATACAGGGTGTTTAAATTTACTTTCTAAAAATTTTTTTTTTTTAATATTTCGAACAATATTTGATGTATAACAGTGAAAATTGGTATACAGGGGTTTTTTGGTACGACAAAACGGACCATGGACATAGTTTTACTGTAGCCGCTAGAGGGCGCTCTCTACTGTACCTGTAGTGTATTAAAATGACCGAAAAAATTTTCTTAGTGCAATATTTTGCTTTTTCAATAAAAGAACTGATTCTTCGCACTTTTCAACATAAAAAAGCTCTCCTGTGAGTTTTCGTTATAGTTAGCCGTTTTTGAGATATTTCGATTTTTAAGGTTCGATGCATTTTTAATTATTTATGGGAAAATAATATTTTTTTTTACATTTTCGATTTGGGCATCACAAGTAATTAAGATGATCGTTTAGATTGTGTTTTTAAATACAGCAATATTCCTAACTCCAAATAAACACAAAAAACAGAATATTAATTTGTTTA